AACAGTTAAAGAAGAGTTCCCTTCAAGGGCAAGGTATTGCAAAACAACCTCAGGATATAATACAAGTCATGATTCAATATTTCGCAATGCATTGGGAAAAAAAAAATCTGAAACAAGATAGTTTTATTCTCTCTCATGTGGTTTGCCTTGTTTTTTCTTAAATAATCTGAAAAGTTAAATATTAATGCACAACCGTTCAAAAGTTTAGAGTCAGTATGCTTTTTTTTTCTTCAAATAAATTCATACTTTTATTTAGCAAGGATAAATTCAATTGACCAAAAGTGACAATAAAGACATTTAGAATGTTACAAAACCTTCTATTAACCAAAGTATCTTGAAAAATTTAAAATATCTCTAAGTTTAAAATAATAATAATAATAATAATAATAATATTACGCAGCTCAACTGTTTTCATATTTTTCAGCTCAACAGTTTTCATGCTTGATATTAATAAAAAATGTTTTTGGAGCAGGAAATCAGTATATTAGAATGATTTCTGAAGGATCCTGTGACACTGAAGACTGGAGTAATGATGCTAAAAAATTCAGTTTTGCCATCATAGCAATATATTGCATCTTCAGATATATTTATCTCGAATATCTCGAATAGAAAACAGTTATATTAATTTGTAATATTACATTATTACTGATTTTACTGTTTCTAATCAAATAAATGCAGCCTTGGTGAGCATAAGATACTTCTTTTAAAAACATATTTAAACAAATCTCATCGACTCCAAACTGTTGAACAATACTGTAAGGATCTAAAATATAAAATTGTGAGACAAAACTCATAATATATCAATATATGACTGTATCGGAAATGCTTTACAACATCAAAAAAAAAAAAAAAAAACACTGGGATTTTAGTGAATCTTTTCATTTAGATGGCTGATTTTAAATTATACTCACTGATTCAACTCACCATTCATATGCATTCAGAAGAGCCACCATCACTACATTTCCATATAGTTGTATTGTGTTATGATTCCAATATTTCACTCGCCTCACAGTTTGACTCCTAAACCAATTTCTTAGGCAAGTGATTTACAAATACCATGCAAATCAGTTCGAACTAATTGAACTGATTCAAAAGAATGATTCATCTAATGATGGCATCAGAAGCAAGCACGTAATATCTGAGACTTCAAAACAGTGAAGCTTTCACCTCTTCATGAAGACACAATCTTTGCAGACGTGCAACTGATACTTTTTAGTCTGGGGAGTGAATATGTCTGACTAGTGACTGGTAAAGCCATTCAACTTCAAAATTGGTTTCAAGAAGGAAAAAAGACATCTTTAAGGTTTTATTCCAGTTGCCCTAAAAACAGAAAAAAAAGGGAGGAAAAGTCCATTCGGAACAGGATAATAGTACTTGTTTCGACATGCGGAAAACATTATTTCAATACAATGGTGTTAAAAACTCAACTAGTGATTTACTGCTGCTAGTTAAACCAGGTCAAAATTCCCTTTTACAAGAATAAAATTAAAGAATGCTCTCCCACTCAGAGAAATATAAATCTCTTCACTCGCAGCAGCCATTAACAAAACCATTTTCATTAATGAAAACATAAAACACAAAGGCTTCGTGTCTCTACAGACCCGGGAACGTTTTCCATCTTTAATTTAAAAAGAAAGCAAGTGTTAAGTGTTACGTTCCTGTTCTTCAAGACGATAGGTTTCAAATAACCATTCGGGGAATGAATTAATGAATAAATTCCCCTTAAAAAGGAAAAGACTGTATAGTCTAGCTTGGAAAAGTACATATCACTACAATTAACAACAAATAACAAATTAAAATATCCCAAAAAATGAGACCAAAAAGTATGGAAGCGAGTGTTTGAGAGGATCCGCCTCTCCTGTGGTTTTGACCTCGAGCAAACGCCGGAAATCAGATATCCTGTCTGGCCTTTAACTCGCATCGCTTATTAATGAGGCTGCGGTTCAAAGAGACTAAACATGAGACGGCATTAATATGGATTTACCACGTCCTCAAAATGTCTTTTTCATCATCTCCATCTCAAGCCGTCATTCGCAAAGAAATGGTACGAAAACCACATCGTTACGCTGCCGGACTAGTCTTGAGCTAATGTCAAAAATATCTAGAGAAAATGAAGGGGGAAAAATGACAAGCCACCTTAAAATAATAATAATAATAATAATAATAATATTACGCAGCTCAACTGTTTTCATATTTTTCAGCTCAACAGTTTTCATGCTTGATATTAATAAAAAATGTTTTTGGAGCAGGAAATCAGTATATTAGAATGATTTCTGAAGGATCCTGTGACACTGAAGACTGGAGTAATGATGCTAAAAAATTCAGTTTTGCCATCATAGCAATATATTGCATCTTCAGATATATTTATCTCGAATATCTCGAATAGAAAACAGTTATATTAATTTGTAATATTACATTATTACTGATTTTACTGTTTCTAATCAAATAAATGCAGCCTTGGTGAGCATAAGATACTTCTTTTAAAAACATATTTAAACAAATCTCATCGACTCCAAACTGTTGAACAATACTGTAAGGATCTAAAATATAAAATTGTGAGACAAAACTCATAATATATCGTCTTTTTCATCATCTCCATCTCAAGCCGTCATTCGCAAAGAAATGGTACGAAAACCACATCGTTACGCTGCCGGACTAGTCTTGAGCTAATGTCAAAAATATCTAGAGAAAATGAAGGGGGAAAAATGACAAGCCACCATTCATATCTTCATATTTTCCAGAGGGTAAATTGGCGTTGAAATTATAATGACATCAAGGAGTACACTTATAATCCATCAAATGGTTGCGTATGGAAACGTATTTTGTTTTTTACCTTCTCCCACTTTCTTCACCTATACAACAGAAAGAAAACATTAGGATGCGAAAAGCCCTGAACTTAGAGAACGAGCATGCTGTTCTTGTGTAAATTTCCCTCAACGAAACCTTTAAGGACGGTAAAGTTAAGTTGATATGTTTTGGGAACAATATTTTTAATGACTTACAGCTATAAAGTTACAAAAGCGTGACAGAACATATAATAAGTTCAGACAACCTTTTCAAACTTTCATAGTTAAGCTAAGCAAGACCATATAACTTTCCTCAAAGTTATTCTCAAAAAGATCCAATATATCCTTTTCGCAAAAACAAAACATGACCAAAATCTGTTTCTCAGGGGGATTATCTTCATTTCATCATAAACTGATTGGTGGTAATGACTAAGAGAGGAACAGGTGCTATGATCTGAGTTATGTTGCTATTTCCCTCCCGTGACTAAACCAGTCCAGCCAGACAAAACGGCAATGCGCTGAAGTGTAAGACAATCTTCACGGACAACATAGTTCATCAAGCTACCGGACAGTCACTGACTCAGTGCGGAAGAAAAACCACAGGAGTGCAGACTCACTGCAAAGGACCGGCCCAGAAAAGGTTCGACTCTGACACATGGGTCTCTGTAAAACCACCACTGAGGTAAGGTGATGGTTACAGAGTTCAGGGGGAGGAGGGCAGAATGGGTGAAAGAATGACCCAAATTTTATAGATCTCCAGTTTAAACGGCTGGAGTGTGAGAGTCCTTCTAAGATGCAGTTTAACAGTAAATGAATTGTGGAAGAAAGAGGCAGCAGGAAAATAAAGATAGAAGGGCAAATGGTGTCAAAGGAAAGATTGCAAGCAAACAAGGTGACAAGAATGAAAGCAAGAAAGTAGGAATGATTTTTAAAAAGTAAGGGAAGGATGGGAGAAAGGAATGAAGGAAAATGGAGGGGGGAAAGAAAGAAAGGAGGATGGAAAAGAATATGAACAAGAGCAAAAAAGCAAGTAAGAATGATTTAAAATTAGTAAAAGAAGAAAGGAGGGAAGGAGAAAAGGAAGAAAAGGTAATAACGATTTAAAATCAGTAAGGAAGGAAGGAAGGAATGAAGGAGAAAGAAAAAGACGAAAAAAATCAAGTAATAATGATTTAAAATCAGAGAGGAAGGGAGGGAAGGAAGGAAGTATGGAAAAAGAAAAGGCAGTATGAAAGTAACGCTGGATCTAACAGAAGGATGGAGGGAAGGACGGACAGAAGGAAGGAAGGAAAAAGGAAAAAAAGAACAAGAAACAAAAACAAAAGAATGATTTAAAATCAATAAAGGAAGAAAGAAAAACAGGCAAAAAGCAAAGAAAGATTAAGTAAAATCAATAACATTTTCTATCAAGAAAGAAAGAAAAGACAATCTTCAAGCAAGAAAGTGAGCAAATACAGGGAAAATATGACAGACAGAAGTTGTCAGATATGAAGCAAGCAAATTAATATGAAAGCAAGAAAGAACGATTTCAAACCACTAAAGCAAGCAAGCAAGAAGAAGAAGAAAAAAGAAAGGCCATTATTAACTGGGAGTTAAAAAAGCTGAAGCTGTATAGAACCACTTTGCTCCCTGCCTGAGCCGCCAGCTGGGGTATTTGCATAAGCAGTAAAAGAGAGGGATGGACAGAGGGAGAGAGAGCAGGAAGGAAAAAGGAAAAAAAGAACAAGAAACAAAAACAAAAGAATGATTTAAAATCAATAAAGGAAGAAAGAAAAACAGGCAAAAAGCAAAGAAAGATTAAGTAAAATCAATAACATTTTCTATCAAGAAAGAAAGAAAAGACAATCTTCAAGCAAGAAAGTGAGCAAATACAGGGAAAATATGACAGACAGAAGTTGTCAGATATGAAGCAAGCAAATTAATATGAAAGCAAGAAAGAACGATTTCAAACCACTAAAGCAAGCAAGCAAGAAGAAGAAGAAAAAAGAAAGGCCATTATTAACTGGGAGTTAAAAAAGCTGAAGCTGTATAGAACCACTTTGCTCCCTGCCTGAGCCGCCAGCTGGGGTATTTGCATAAGCAGTAAAAGAGAGGGATGGACAGAGGGAGAGAGAGCGAGGGAGTGAGAGAGGGAGGAATCATACCAGACACTCCCACAACCTATAAAGCACAACCATACTGAAACACTCAGTGAAACCACACGTGGGTCTCTGCGCAAGGGGGAGAGCCAGCGCTGCACAGAGACAGAGAGCCGGAGGAGGAGTGTGCATGTGTGTTTGAGTAAGCAAGACGTGGATTTCAGCTCATATGGGATGTGAGTGAGGACATACAACAAATTCAACCCTTCAGGATCAATTTTCCAAGTCTTGACTGCAAAGAAAAACTAATTTCAAAGGGTTCGTAGTGGCAGGGCAATGTAATACCAGAGTGCAACTGTACTAGAGGACTATCCAGAGAGCAAACAAGTGCAGGACTGGTTCCGAAGCTAAGAGATCCATGCATTACGAACTCTAGAGTCTTGCAAGCAACATTTGAGATCCGTGTGGAGAGGTTCGGAGGTTTCAGTGATGTCTTTCGCGATGGTGCGACCGGCTCCCAGCCGATACCTGTACTCAGAGATCTCGATGATGTCAGAGGACGACGAAAATGGCAGCGAGAGCTCAGGCTCGGATGACCGCTCATTTCGCTTGGACGCCTCGGGGTACGAACTTAAAGTTGGAAGAAAGCGGAAATCTGGTGTAGGTGGTGGACGGCTGATAGGCACGTCACCCAACTCCACCGGCACAATGGCTCCAGTGGTAGAGGGTCGTCCACGCAATACAGCCAACGCACGGGAGCGGGATCGCACCAACAGCGTCAACACGGCCTTCACCGCGTTAAGGACTCTCATCCCCACAGAGCCTGCCGACCGGAAGCTGTCCAAGATCGAGACCTTGCGGTTGGCATCCAGTTACATCTCCCACCTAGGAAACGTGCTCCTGGTGGGCGAAGCTAGCGGGGACGGACAGCCGTGCCACAGCGGAGGGCCTTCGACCTCAAACTACTACCACCACCATGGCTCGCCAAACCGGGACTCGGAGAACTCGCAGCCCAAACAGATCTGCACGTTTTGCCTCAGCAACCAGAGGAAAATGGTGAGTGAGACTCATGCAGGTGTTCTCCGTTAAGATTGTGCAATGATGTGGACGTGTTCAAGTCCACAAACAAGCTGAAGAAACACAGACGGAGGTGTGAAATACGGCTGAGCCTCGGGGAGGGATAAAAACAGGTCTGATTCATTCTCTGCTAGTAAGGTCACTGAGGGCAATGACTTGAGGCAAAGTTAGTCAGGAAACAGTTGGGATGCATTAAACACTATCAAAGTAAACCTGTAGAGCACCTTTGTTTATTTGTAGAGTACCTTTCAAACAAGTAGTTTAAGGGTTTGTTCCTTTCTACAAAGCATTTCTGTAATTCTAGCCGCAACAAAGCAGTTGATATACACAAACCGTATTCCTAAATTCTAGAAGAGGCACTGCCAAAACTTATAAGACAACAAAGCTGATAAGGCATAATTTCGTACATGCTTTCTGAGGCATAATCAACTAGTGATTTCAGACAGTCTTTTATACACCGGCCAACTACATCTTTTAGTGAATCTGCGTCGTAATTCTCAGCCTCCCCGAGATAACGTTTGTCACTGAAAACAGTCCTCAGCTCTCTGAAGCTGAGTTATGACTTCATCCACATGTCCTTCTCCATCAAGAGCGATATCTCTGTTACAAAGTGTGCTGCTACCATGACCTCATAGACAGATGCAGTGAAAGATCGGTTAGGAACAACAACAGGCCAAAGGCCAACACTCCCATTTCAGGCCGTAACCTTAATCCGTACTAAACTAAATGATAGATCTTTATAAGTCCAATCGAGAAATACGCCCATGTCTTCGGGATTCCAGTGGCAGGCAGATATTTGAAACAGACCGGGCCTTGCCTTTGTAGTGCGCTTTCAGAAGTGGGTCTGTGCGCTCCAAAACCACACTCGTCTCTTTTACCCCTACTTAGTGCTCATTATGCCGTGAAAATATCACTCAGCCAAGACGCGCAGCTTTATTGTTTCTAAAGAAAGAGAAAGACGAAATAAAGAACACACAAACCAAGGGGAAAGACATGGTAGGTATAACTGAATTCAAATGTTCGGCTTTTCGCCAAAGTTGAGCGTCTGTAAGCTGACACAAAACAGACAGCTGCTTCGAGATTCTCCAGTGAACGAGCAAAATGGACGTTTAAATCAAACGCAGACAGTCGTGCGGCACAAAACTGCTACTTTTGCCTGCTAAGACATTCAAGACTCAAACAGATTTGTGTCTATATAAAAATGATCGATTTTACCCTAAACATTTTCCAGCTTTTGATGCATCTGGCGGGTTTATCTGTATTTATTTTCATCTTGGACTGCTTCTTGATATTTGCACACGCACACACTCACTCGTAACTTCTATTTTCTACATCACTATATCCACATGGCTGTACCACAAATATGACAGAGCAAGAAATTTCCCCTATTTTTGTGTTTTGACACCATCTTGCTCTGTCCGTTTGGCTAAACCACACTAGTCATTAGTGGTGGATGCTTGGTTTCTTGCAGGTGAGGACATAGGTTTGGATAGATTGCATAACCAGACTGGATCACTCAGGAAAAGTCTTTTTTGAGGCAGATGGGATGTCTTCCTCACAGTTATGGCATCTGCTCAGATGGTAACAGAATAAAAAGTAACGTAGGTCATATTTTCTGCATAATTATTGAGACTTCTCTCATTACGAGCATATGGAAGAGTTTAGAGACTTTCGCTCTAACGGGAGCCCGAACATTTGACACAATATGAAATTATTTGAAGTGTTAGCAGCGCATGTTAAAGAGCCAACATTTTTCTCTCCGTAAACTGCCATTTCATTCGAATGTGTCCTGAAAGATTTGGCCAAAAGCGGGATCTTATAAAACCGCCAAATGTGAATACTTCAGTACCTTCTGGAAAGTGAAGCCACATGAATTAAAGTTGGGCTGGAATTGGGTCGTCCTTTACCACAGGTGTGGCGGTACGCTTCATAACCATAAATGAAGGAAAACTAGCATTTACGCTTGTAGGCAACAGTGAAAAGGTCTGTGCAAATACTCCTGAACACTATAAAAACAATCAAAAGAGTGTATATGGCGCATTCAAAGGGTGCAAAACTCATATATTGGGATTAGCTCAAACACAAGACTCAGTTTTAATAATCTACCCGTCCTGTCACCACCGAGAGGCTAAAGTTACACGTCTAAACACATGCATGCACACACACACACCGTCTCGTTGTGATCTTTAGAAAGCTGTCAATGTTAAACGTCAACCTAAGGTGAAGCCAAATATTTGTGTTAAGAGAACCGTAGCTGCTTGAAAGGGGAAAAAAAGGAGGTGAACATTAATTTATTGATATAAAGATATTTGAGAATTTGCTGTGATTTGTTTCCTGCCTCAAAGTACTTGGAAATAATGTGTTTATAAAGGACTTCAGACCAAGGGGAGCGTACGATCAATCTGGGCATTTGGATGTAAGCTCCAGCAATAATAATTTCTTTACGGCGTGTTAGACAGGATATGAAAAGCAAATGTAGGCAAAATCCTATTAGTTTGGCCTTAAGTGATCCCTGGAGTCAGAGTGCTGGTGACTTTAAAGTGGCACTGAACTTAAAGGAGGGGCTGGGGAAAAAAATCGGAGTGAGAAAAAAAAAGAAGGAAAGAAAGAAAGGAGAACGTTGAGGGTCAGGGTTATTTTCAAATGGGATTCTGTCTGACTTCATCAGTTAAGGTTGAGTGTTTTGACTAGGAACTCTGCCTACATCAGAGGACTCTCATCCCCACAGAGCCTGCCGACCGGAAGCTGTCCAAGATCGAGACCTTGCGGTTGGCATCCAGTTACATCTCCCACCTAGGAAACGTGCTCCTGGTGGGCGAAGCTAGCGGGGACGGACAGCCGTGCCACAGCGGAGGGCCTTCGACCTCAAACTACTACCACCACCATGGCTCGCCAAACCGGGACTCGGAGAACTCGCAGCCCAAACAGATCTGCACGTTTTGCCTCAGCAACCAGAGGAAAATGGTGAGTGAGACTCATGCAGGTGTTCTCCGTTAAGATTGTGCAATGATGTGGACGTGTTCAAGTCCACAAACAAGCTGAAGAAACACAGACGGAGGTGTGAAATACGGCTGAGCCTCGGGGAGGGATAAAAACAGGTCTGATTCATTCTCTGCTAGTAAGGTCACTGAGGGCAATGACTTGAGGCAAAGTTAGTCAGGAAACAGTTGGGATGCATTAAACACTATCAAAGTAAACCTGTAGAGCACCTTTGTTTATTTGTAGAGTACCTTTCAAACAAGTAGTTTAAGGGTTTGTTCCTTTCTACAAAGCATTTCTGTAATTCTAGCCGCAACAAAGCAGTTGATATACACAAACCGTATTCCTAAATTCTAGAAGAGGCACTGCCAAAACTTATAAGACAACAAAGCTGATAAGGCATAATTTCGTACATGCTTTCTGAGGCATAATCAACTAGTGATTTCAGACAGTCTTTTATACACCGGCCAACTACATCTTTTAGTGAATCTGCGTCGTAATTCTCAGCCTCCCCGAGATAACGTTTGTCACTGAAAACAGTCCTCAGCTCTCTGAAGCTGAGTTATGACTTCATCCACATGTCCTTCTCCATCAAGAGCGATATCTCTGTTACAAAGTGTGCTGCTACCATGACCTCATAGACAGATGCAGTGAAAGATCGGATTAAATGTAGCCCAACGGAAAATATCCAATCAACAAAGAGACTGTCAGGTAATATACAAACACATCATCCATCTCTTCCCCCGGCGAGTGTGACTGTGCTGACCTTGGCCCGTGGAGCCAACACCGCAGCACATTAAAAATAAAACCATAAATCACGCTTTGGCTGTGAGGAATACAATGACACCAAACCAAAAACAGAGGAAAACTGTAATTTAAACTTGCGTGGCGAAGAACTGTCAGAGGTTGAAATATAACACACGCTCAAGACAATTACACTCTGCCATGACACAAGAGCATTTTTGGTCAGGGTATCTCACCACCGCAATGTGTGTTTAATCCTCAAAAACCTGAAGTGCTTCCAGAAGCCATTGAGCTACATTTTGGATCTTTTAAAGTAAAGTCTGTAGCGAAGGAAATAAACAATAAAAGATAGCAACTGATTCCGTCATGGATACTCGGCACCACACGGGTGAATTACAACAAACCTAGTTTGGGCCATTTATGACAAATGAGCAAATGGGAGGCATAAACATGCAAATGCAAATGGTCCGTGATCTATATATCAGGCCATGAGAATCTAGGGAACATCTGCTGCTGGGTATTTTCCTCCAAGTAGCCATGCACCAACCTCAGCGTTTCACTCTCACATCCTGTGTTGTTCTTAGTCGCTTTCTCGTTGCCCAATTAATATCCTTGTCAAGCATGACATGCAACCTGCTCAGACCTTCGTAAATCTTTCAGAGGAAAATTTGCACAGATTTCTGAAAGGAACACAGCGGTCTTTGCACTTTAAGCTGAGAGCATTAAGGCCATTAAATTGTTAAGATTTTGATGGATTTATCTTGTAGCAAGAAAAACACTAAATACAAAAAAGTGAAGAAGAACATTTCTTCTAAATCCCCAAAACTGATTAGCAGACTAATTTTTAAAAGCCAAGCAGATCTAATTGTCTGCTATTTAATCATTTTCTACAACAAAATATCTGTTTTAAAGAAATGTCAACAAGTCTGTGTGTCCAATTCATGTACTCAGACAGCTAAATTGGCTAAATATTAGTAATAAATTTGACATCGGCCACTATTGTTCTGTAGATATCGGTCAAGCACAAATTAGCAACTGATTGAGCATCTTTAAGTATTCAAATCTAATTCCTAGATGTTCAATATTGTACAAACCACACTGTATATAAAAGACTGAAACAAATGTACAAAATAAACAAGAGCTCCTTATAACGCAAATTTATAACTGGTAACTGGCTTAAAGGTTTTATTTGCTAAACTGTTTGTGGTTAAACTGTTGTTGAAAATCACATAGAAACCACCCAGAAACCACAGAGTTAGGAACAACAACAGGCCAAAGGCCAACACTCCCATTTCAGGCCGTAACCTTAATCCGTACTAAACTAAATGATAGATCTTTATAAGTCCAATCGAGAAATACGCCCATGTCTTCGGGATTCCAGTGGCAGGCAGATATTTGAAACAGACCGGGCCTTGCCTTTGTAGTGCGCTTTCAGAAGTGGGTCTGTGCGCTCCAAAACCACACTCGTCTCTTTTACCCCTACTTAGTGCTCATTATGCCGTGAAAATATCACTCAGCCAAGACGCGCAGCTTTATTGTTTCTAAAGAAAGAGAAAGACGAAATAAAGAACACACAAACCAAGGGGAAAGACATGGTAGGTATAACTGAATTCAAATGTTCGGCTTTTCGCCAAAGTTGAGCGTCTGTAAGCTGACACAAAACAGACAGCTGCTTCGAGATTCTCCAGTGAACGAGCAAAATGGACGTTTAAATCAAACGCAGACAGTCGTGCGGCACAAAACTGCTACTTTTGCCTGCTAAGACATTCAAGACTCAAACAGATTTGTGTCTATATAAAAATGATCGATTTTACCCTAAACATTTTCCAGCTTTTGATGCATCTGGCGGGTTTATCTGTATTTATTTTCATCTTGGACTGCTTCTTGATATTTGCACACGCACACACTCACTCGTAACTTCTATTTTCTACATCACTATATCCACATGGCTGTACCACAAATATGACAGAGCAAGAAATTTCCCCTATTTTTGTGTTTTGACACCATCTTGCTCTGTCCGTTTGGCTAAACCACACTAGTCATTAGTGGTGGATGCTTGGTTTCTTGCAGGTGAGGACATAGGTTTGGATAGATTGCATAACCAGACTGGATCACTCAGGAAAAGTCTTTTTTGAGGCAGATGGGATGTCTTCCTCACAGTTATGGCATCTGCTCAGATGGTAACAGAATAAAAAGTAACGTAGGTCATATTTTCTGCATAATTATTGAGACTTCTCTCATTACGAGCATATGGAAGAGTTTAGAGACTTTCGCTCTAACGGGAGCCCGAACATTTGACACAATATGAAATTATTTGAAGTGTTAGCAGCGCACGTTAAAGAGCCAACATTTTTCCCTCCGTAAACTGCAGTTTCATTCGAATGTATCCTGAAAGATTTGGCCAAAAGCGGGATCTTATAAAACCGCCAAATGTGAATACTTCAATACCTTCTGGAAAGTGAAGCCACATGAATTAAAGTTGGGCTGGAATTGGGTCGTCCTTTACCACAGGTGTGGCGGTACGCTTCATAACCATAAATGAAGGAAAACTAGCATTTACGCTTGTAGGCAACAGTGAAAAGGTCTGTGCAAATACTCCTGAACACTATAAAAACAATCAAAAGAGTGTATATGGCGCATTCAAAGGGTGCAAAACTCATATATTGGGATTAGCTCAAACACAAGACTCAGTAATTTATTGATATAAAGATATTTGAGAATTTGCTGTGATTTGTTTCCTGCCTCAAAGTACTTGGAAATAATGTGTTTATAAAGGACTTCAGACCAAGGGGAGCGTACGATCAATCTGGGCATTTGGACGTAAGCTTCAGCAATAATAATTTCTTTACGGTGTGTTAGACAGGATATGAAAAGCAAATGTAGGCAAAATCCTATTAGTTTGGCCATAAGTGATCCCTGGAGTCAGAGCGCTGGTGACTTTAAAGTGGCACTGAACTTAAAGGAGGGGCTGGGGAAAAAAATCGGAGTGAGAAAAAAAAAGAAGGAAAGAAAGAAAGGAGAACGTTGAGGGTCAGGGTTATTTTCAAATGGGATTCTGTCTGACTTCATCAGTTAAGGTTGAGTGTTTTGACTAGGAACTCTGCCTACATCAGATGGGGGCCGCAGGAATGATGGCATTTCATCTGCTCCTGTTCTAAGCAAAGCAAACTGGGAAATGTGAGCCAGGTGTGTGTGTGTGCTACCGCAAATGGAAAGGTGATAGGATAAAAACAGCAGGCGCATTAATGCCAAACGGCAACATGAACCATCAAGAGTCAACAACTCCTTAAAAACTGAAAATCAATAAACTTGTAATTTTAAACTTGTAATTCTGGATAAAAGCATCACCTAAACAAATAAACTTCAATGTAAAAATGTAAATAAATTTTAATACATTTATATGAAAATAAATGGATATTAAATAATCATTTAAAAACATAAATAAATATAATATAATTTAATTAATGTAAATAAATAAATAAATACAAATATTAAAAAATATTTTTTAACAAAAATTAACAAAAAAATTGAATTAAAAATAAGAACAAAAAATAGTTGGACCTGACATTGCTCATAACTAATCAAATATTTTCTTTCATTTCAGACCAAAGACAGAGAGAGAAAATCGGCTCTGAGGAGTTAAGCCACGACGTGAATGGATTTACAAAATATCATCATCACCAATGTACAAAAGCTGATGACTGCAAAACGCAATGTTGTGGTGTATATATATGCAAATATCAATTCATATTTAATTATTTGTAAATCGCCGTTGGACTGGAGCATTTTATTTGGGGGAAAAAAAACACATATGACTGGAAAAAGACCAGACTGCAGCGATTTGATTATGCAAGAGCTGAACATCCCCACCACAGACTTAATCCATTTCCACCTTTTCTGTCCATTTACACACCAAGCTACACCAAATGTTTATTTTTGACAACAGGGAGTTGAGGTAAAGCTATTCACCAAAGACTATCTGAATAAGAGGACTGCATTTACAAGGTCGCAAATGATCACATCACTTCCCCAGGAGACACAACATACGGAGCCCAGCTTTACAAATCAAAACAATGAAGGAACATCTTCCAATATTCAAAATCAAAGATGACCTTGGGAAAGTGCTCATATTGAGGACATGAATTAATGCAAACTGATGTGTGGCACGTTATTTCTTACAAAAACATGAAAGACACTTAGCCTGACTATGAAACCGCAATAAATTCAATAAATGCAGTATACTGTATGTCCAATATGGCAAATGACATATATTCTTCATTGTTTAAATTAAAAACGACTGAACCAACAGAGTGAAAACCACCTGCGTTTCTTTCTAGTATGTCTCAACATCATGTCACAAAGACGTTTGGATATCTGTGTCATCCAGCCGTCCTGTAATTTAGCCAAAACCTCAAAACGGCTACAAAAACAGTCCCTCCAGATAAAGATCAACACTTTAATTTTATCATCTCTGTAGATCATCTCTCATCACGAGTTAAATTATAAAAATGCTCATGGAATTATACGATTTTACCAAGACAGTAAGAATCCTGGTTGAGGATGTGAATTGACATAAGAAATATTTTGAATTTTTTGTCGTTTTGGCTTGTTTTGCCTTATTTTGAATCTATCTATCTATCTATCTATCTATCTATCTATCTACGCACACACTAGGGGTTTTGACACAA